AGATCATAATAATCTGGCCACTCAGTGTACTCTACCCAGCAAAGCTATTATTTAGAATTTAAGGTCAGATAAAGAACTTTACAGATGAGAAAATGCTAAAGGAGTTCATTACCACCAAACCAGGATTATATGAAATGCTGAAGGGTATTCCTAAAGAAGAAGCAGAAGGAGAAGGAGAAGGAGAAGGAGAAGGAGAAGGAGAAGGAGAAGGAGAAGGAGAAGGAGAAGGAGAAGGAGAAGGAGAAGGAAGAAGAAGAAGAAGAAGAAGAAGAAGAAGAAGAAGAAGAAGAAGAAGAAGAAGAAGAAGAAGAAGAATTATGAACAATAAAGTGACAACAGAAACATATCTATCAATAAGTAAATCTAAAAATTAAGTCAATAAAAAAAAATCTGATGAACACAATAAACTAGTGAATATAATAGAATCAGGGGCATAGAAAGGGAGTGGACTGAATTCTCAGTGGGGGGGCATGAGAGGTGCGGGAAGAGATTGCACAAAATTCTTATACCTATGAATGAGGACAGTGGTGGGGGTAAGGGTATAAGGTGAGGAGGGGAAACTGGGTGGAGGGGAGTTACGGGGGAAAAAAGGAGGAACATCTGTAATAATCTGAACAATAAAGATTTTTTTAAAAAAAAGAGTCCTTGCACCACCAACATCTATAAATTCATTTCTTCTTTGTAAAAATATTAATAATATATGCCCCATCTGCCTCCCTGGAACTTGGAGCAGTTTCAATTAAAATAACGGATAGGAAAGAGCTTTGACAAAAACAAGGCAGCCCTCTGCAAATGTGATAGCTGGGTGATGTCCCAGCTAGCAATTATGTTCTCTGAGACTGTGGGCACCCAGTGAGTCATTCTCTCACTCTCAAAGCCAGAGGATTTGAAAGGGGAGAAATGAGGTGAGCCTTTTTTGAGTTTTTATTTCTGTGAAGGGGGGCCAAAACAGGAGTGCACAGAGCCACCTCCTACAGACATACGCACACTGTGCCCCAAATTCCAGCCTCCTTAGAGCTAAACAGCCAGCTTAAGCAAGGACTTCACCCCTTCTCTGCTATTTAATTCTGAAATACCAAGTCCCCAAGCTATTTGGGGTTTCTTAGATATGAGAAGTTAGAATCCTAAAATTTTATTCAGTCCCAGTTTACATCCAGCATTGGGCTATATTTCTGATTATAACTAATTTACTCTGAGACTTAAGGTAAATTGCATTCCCTCTCTGAGCTCTTTACATCTTCAATATACAGAATGATTCAGATACCTAACATTATCTTTCAAAATTCCCAGATTTAGAATACTTGGGTTTGAGTCCTAGCTCTGTCATAACAACTGTATAACCTTAGACAAGTTTTTTTCTGGGTCTCAGTTTCTGCTATTATAAAATGAGGTATTTGCATTAGATGCTCAATGTTGTATTTCAAGAGTTTTGGACTGAGATTCAGGAAATCTGACTTCTAGCTCTAACACCACAAAGTAAATTATTGTCTGAGTTTGGACTGTTTTTTTCCTTTTTCTGATCCTCAATTTCCCTATCTGTGTAATGAGGGAATCCAACTATGAGTTATTTAAACACCTCTGATTCTAACAGCCTCTGGTTCTAGAATTTTACAGGCACTGAAAAAGGAAGTGAAGGGAGGGGAAACCACACCCAGAATAATTTCTCATAAACTAGCAATGGTTGCCCTCTATAGGTCTGACGTGAAAGTGCAGGCCCAAATAGAGACAAGAGTGAAACACAGAGACAACTGGATGCTTCACCAGATAGAGCCAGACACATAGAATAGGATTGGCACAAAGACTTCCCAGCCCCATCCTAATAGAGGGGTCCGGATAGTAGTGTGTACTGGGATATTGCACTTTCCTTCCCAATCATCAGTAAGTAACAAGAGACTTCTCAGGCCTATACAGCTCATGCATTGTCAGTGGGGTCTCTGCCATAATAGGTAAAGTAAGTAAAAGAATCATTTTACTTTATTGAGTAATTTGGGGGGATGTGCACGAATGTTTGAAGATGAAGTGTGATTGTGCTCTGAAGATGAGAATGAGAATGAGTCATTTTCATGGCTGATAAATTTTAACATGTGAGGCAAAGAACTCTTCATAAGATATGAAAGAAGCTACTCAAATTAACATGTTTTTCAGCATCCTCATCTACTCCCTATACTCCTTGGAATAGAAGCAGTTCATGCCTGGGCAAAAGACCTAGGATGACCCTAGTATAGAAATAGAATCTAAATCATGAGAAGATTAAATACTTGGGAAAGCTTGATATTCAAGAATAGTCCTAGAGTCTAGGGCTTTGGTCGGCAAACTGCGGCTCATGAGCCACATGTGGCTCTTTGGCCCCTTGAGTGTGGCTCTTCCACAAAATACCATGGCCTGGGCAAGTCTATTTTGAAGAAGTGACATTAGAAGAAGTTTAAGAAATTTGGCTCTCAAAAGAAATTTCAATTATTGTACTGTTGATATTTGGCTCTGTTGACTAATGAGTTTGCCAACCACTGGTCTAGGGGATTTGTTAATTCAGTCTTGGAGTAGCACTAAATTTGGGGCAATCTGTGGATTCATTATTGCAGAGCATTATGTGAGGCTTAGGAGAGATGCAAATATAGGGTTTTGTTACATAAATAGGCAGTACTAAGCCTTTCATCACTGTCATTCCATAATAATTCATTATAGAGGTAGTAGTCAGGTCATGAAAATCTATACTCCCCTATCTTTTCTCCCCTTCTTGGATTAAAATATCTGACCATCCAACCCAAATGCAAAGGCAAAACCTGTTCCTTATTGTGTGACAAAGATGGTTGCAGTTCTAGTTCTGCTTCTGATTCACTGTATAACCAAGGCCTAGCCCCAGCCTTTCTCTGGGCCTTAGTTTCCCTACCTGAAACAAAGGGGGTTGGACTTGATGAGTTCTTAGGCTTTTCCGAGCCCTGACATTCACTCTACCTGTTTGTGTGTGTGTGGGTTTTTTTTTTTTTTTAATAGAACACTTTCCCTACCATCCCTTCTAGTGCTACGTACAGGCTTATTTTTTAAAATATATTTTTATTGATTTCTGAGAGGAAGGGAGAAGAAGAAGAAGAGAGAAACATCAATGTTGAGAGAGAATCATTTATCCATCATCAGCACACACACACACACACACACACACACACACACACACACACATACACCCCTTACTGGGGACTGAGCCTGCAACCTGGGCATGTATCCTGACCAGAAATCAAACCATGACCTCCTGTTTCATAGGTTAACACTAAACCACTAAGACACGCTGGCTGGGCTTCTTTCAGTGTTTCTTAAATGGAAACTTCTCCCCACACAAGCTCCTATTTCTGATAAGCGCCCAAGTTTTCCACCACCATGCCCTAAACAGGACAGCAAGTCTTCTATTTTACTTCCTCAATTCCTGGGCCTGCCCCCTTCCCCAGCCCCCCCTGTTCCCATAAAAACAAAAAGTTCTTCTCTCATCAAGGTGTGTAATAATAGTTTATTCTGAGAAACAGATACAATAAAGATAGCAAATTGTTTTTACCCTATCAAATAATTTGCCCACACATCTTGTCGTTGTTTATTACACCAACCCTATTCCTGCTCATTGTCTATAAGCTTCTACCCCAAAATCACAGATGCACCTTGGAATGGAGAGTTCAAATGATATTTTATTTTAAAGTTTTGTAAACAGAATTATGCTCACAGCTTCAGCAACAATGAGAGTTCAATTAAACCTCCCTGATCAGCTCAGTTGCCTGGAGCACTTCCTCAGACACCTCAGAAGCTTGGAGTCATACCTGAGGAGGTCCCTTCTCTCCCTCCTGGAAGCCAGTTCCAGGAGAGGTACATGGTTGTTGGCACCACAGAAAAAGCCAGGAGTGAAGAGCATACAGGTAGTATAAAAAGGAGGACACGAGGTGGAAAAGGGGGTATAATCAATAGCAGCAAGGGTTGGAGGTAGACCCGTTGTGGGTACTGAAAAGTGTTTGGAATTTTTAAAAAGGAATTATAAATGCGTATATCCAAAAATATATTTTTAAAAATCTGGAAGTGGAAATCACTTGCCTTTTCTTGCCAACAAGTTTAATTTCCTTGATCCCACTTATGCAATGTGCAGCAATAATATTTCATGTCTCTTAGTGACTACATATTGTTATTGTAGCTGAGATAGCATGGTTAATATTGATTAATATATTGTGGTTAATAATGGTTAATACTATATCTAAAATATTAGGGGGAAAATCACTGAGATGGGAAAAGAGGGAAGGAGTAAGGAAAAATATACTGGAATAATAAGAAAGCCAGGAAGTTAGAGTGCTTTCCCAAGTTCAGATCTGGCTGATCCACATCTGTTTAGAGTTTATGAGAAGGCTCCAAAGGCCTCCTTATGGCTCTATGGAGCATTTGTCCCAGAGCCAGTATGTAAATCAATGCTACAATCTGGCTATGCCTGGGCACTTTTGGACTGATTGCCATTAATACTCATAACTAGTTGCTGTCAGATATCCACAAACCATTGCTATTAACATCCACAGGCAATCACCATTGATATTCATTGATGTTAATATCTTATTACTATCATCATTCAAAAGTCCCCTATCTAAACTATGATATAATTGGGGGGAAGGGAGAAAGGGATAAAGGGATGGGAGAGGGGAGCTGGGTGAGAGAGGGTTATAGCACCAATCCAGGAACAACTATCCTCTATAATTCCTGGTCACTTCAGGATTAAGAGAAAGGCCTAGGGTGGGACAGGGGTAAGCTGAAGCCTAGCTGGCCTTTCCCCTAAGCCCCTTCCTTCAGGATGCCCACCTGGTAATGGGGAGTCTACCCTTCAGGCTAATGCTAGCTAATACAGACTAGCAGAGATTGCCATAACCTAGGACTTCTCTGAAGGATTTTTTGCTAAATCCAGGTTTAGAAATCCTTATCTTTTAACCAAAAACTGGCAAGAGGAAGGTAGGGATAGTGGGGTCTACCCCTCTTGACCAATGGGCCCATTACAGGATGCCATTGGGCCTCAGTTTCTGGTGGGCCAGAGCTACAGCATAATAGCGTTGGAAACGGACAAGGAGCACAGGCACCAACAAGACACCAGTGCACATTCCCATCGTGGCTGTGATAGCAGCAATGAGCTGGCCCAGAGAAGAGAGGGGATAGACATCTCCATAGCCAACAGTGGTGAGAGTTATGACAGTCCACCAGAGACATGTAAAGATGTCTCCAAAATGGGGCTCACCCTGACCTGGGGTGGACATGCCAAACAGCTCCCCATAGAGGAAGAGCAAGCCAAAGAATAAGATCTCAGCTACCCAAATCAGGAGAAAAGCACACACCTCCTTCCAAGAAGAATGAAGGGTGTGAGCTAGGACTCTCATGGCCAGGGACTTTTCAAGGAATCCCAGGAGACGAACTAATTTGAGGACATAGAGAGAACGAATGGCCCCAAGTGTTAGGCTAAGATGGGGTTGCTGTTCAGCCTTGTCACCCACCACCAATTCCACCAGCACAGGGAAAAGACAAAAAATATCAGCTAGATTGAGAAGGCTACACAGGAAGCGCACCTTATCAGGGCAGGAAATGGCCCGGGCAAAGAGCTCAGTTCCAAACCAAAGGGCACAGAGCAATTCCAGGTAGAGTAGGTGGGGGGCACGGCGGTAAACAAGACCATTGTTCTGCCGCTCCTGATGGCTTCCCCCTACCCTTTCCCCGTGTCCCATAGGAGTGAAGTTGGCAGAGAAGTAATCCAGCTGGATCTCCGTCTCCTGGAAGAAGATGACCAGAGCACACACGGCAAAGAGTGTGGAGATCAGGGAAAGGCACTGGGGGAAAAGAGGCATGTCAGAAGTACCCCCATTTACAATCACTCCCACTTCTCTAAATGGACCCCACCCACCCTTTTTTGCCTCCCTTTTTTGAGAATCCCCTCAAATTGTCCTGGGTGTTTGTAGGTTCAGGGCCCAAGCACTATGCCAAGTATGTGCCATTGTGGCATCTTGGCAGGGCCCTTTGTGAGTAAGAGTGTTTAACATGGTGTTACAACACTGTTAAGAAGTTACCTTGGCCCCTAAGGAAGATTGGGGTTGGTCAAGAAGCACCCAGAGCCATGGCTTCCAAGCATTCCGCAGTCCCTGGCCTTCAACGGGGTTCAGCAAAAGGCGTTCATCCATGTGGGCATTCTCACAGACCTCCCAAGACAAAAAGTCCTGGGTTTGGGTCTCCTTGCCACTCAGCTTGAGCCAGCAGCAAGGTGCCAGCGGTGCTTCTGCCAGGCCCCAATAAGCCAACTCCTCCTCTAGGACATCCCGACAAACGTTGGCAGGGCAGTGCAGCTGCCGAGTACGGTAGTAGCCTAATACATAGCCAAAGAGTTCAGGATTTCGGTCAAAGAAAAACTCTCGAACTGGTGGACCCTGAGCAGCTGGGGTACCAGGTGGGGGTGGCTCGGTCAGCTTGTAGAGACGTGTGCCTGGGAAGGCCCGCAAAGTGCTGATGTAGGTCTCATGGCGCATGCCCCCAACATTCAGGATCAGTTTATCATCCAAGCCCTCCATGGCAAACTGTGAGCCTGCTTCTCGGCTGGCTCGGATCCGCTGGCAAGAGGAGGGATGACAGGGGTTAGGACAAGGCTTATCCAGGGCAGGGAGAGAATTGAGGGCCACAGAAGTAATGGGCCACAGATACCCAAAGGAGGCTAGCCCAGGCTAGGATCCAGAGGTGTCTCTTCCTTCTGGGTCTTCAAGAATTAGGACCAGCCAACTCTCAGGTGTAGTCACAGTGACTAGCCAGAGTCTCTCCTGGGCACAGCAATTCCAGGAGAAAAACCAGCCTACCCTGGATACAGATGTCTTTCAGGTGCTCTTAGGAGATGCCTGGTGACTCTGAGAGAACAGTTGTGCCATGGTATACAGCAGAGGAGTCACAGACAAGCAATGCCAGATTAAATGGGCAAGATGGGGACAGGAATGTCTCTTAATCCTCTAACACTTTGAAAGCTTGGGGTGGGGGAAAGATGAGGGTGGGTTAAAAAAGAAGCTGCCAAGAGAGGCTAAGTGCAGGAAATGGAGTGAAGATGGGAGTGACAGAGGAAGCTGAAGGACCTTAGAGATCCCTTGGCCTCCTCAAGGAGTAGGAAGTGCCTGACTTCAGAAATGGGCTGGGGGGTCGGCAGACCTGACAACGATGATTTTTGACTCCGACTTCCCTGGCACTTGGTCCCGGGCACTCAGCAGCAGCAGCAACTGCATCAACTGCACCAATAGCACCAACAGCACCAAAAGCACCAGCAGTACCAGCAGCAGCAGCATCCGTTGGTCTCTCTACTGGGCGCCCTAAAATTGCTTTGGGCTTAATGAGCTCCTTGCCTGGGAACAAAAAGGGGCAAGAAGAGAGTGGGGGCATAGGAAAGAGAGAGAGTGGTAGGAGTACAGAAAGGCAAACCATGGGAGTCAAAATATCTATCTAGATCAATATTTCAGTGTCCCAAACACCCCCTAACTGGCACCCTGTTCGGGCCACCCATGTTTGTCCTTGAGGACAAAAAAGGGTGAGGGCACAGGCAGCCACCTCCAGTCTGAGAACATCACACACCTCACACACCCACCTCCCATTCCTTCCACCTCTCAGTCAGTCATTCTTTACTCACTTGGTTGTTTTGCATGATCCACAAACACTGGCAGTGAAGGGACCAGCGGCTGGCTGGGCAGAGGGGCTGGAGACGACGACGTGGCGGGTGGTGTGGCCAGCATTGTTGCTGCCTCCGGAGTTCTTGACTGTTCCTGCATGGAGAGATCTCAGAAGCCTCAGGACCGGGCTGTGCTCATGGAAAATCTGGCAAGGACCTGGGGCCTTCCAGAAGCCTCCCGTTCCTGCTGTGGCCAGAGGAGCAAAGGCTGAGAAGCAACAATCTGCTTCAGAGCTATATGTGTTCCTGCCTGCTTGTTTAGGAAGGGCTTCCTGGCCCCCAGCCTGCAGGGAATCAGACAAGAGACCCTGGCCAACTTTGCTGCTCCTCCTTCCTCCCCCAGCTTAGTTCCAGCCCAGAGCAGAGGGAGGGGAGGAGGCAGCTGGAAGAAAAACAGGAAGTTAGGTAGTCAGGCTCCAGCCCAGAAGCCACATCACAGGGCCAGTTAATATTTCGAACAACTTTTTTCCCTACCCCACCCCCACCCATCCCCACTCTAATTCCCCACCTTCCCCCCAGCTCCACTACATTCCTCTCACCAGAAGCCTGAAAAGGAGGAAGGAGCGTGGGGGGAGGGGGAAGTGAGGAGGCTAGATGTGCTCTTGGCTGTATCTAGCTTTCTGCTCACTCATTTTTTCTTTTTCTTTTTTCCCCCCTCCAGTACTAATTACTAATTTTTCTTCCCTTTTCTCCAGAGGCCTTGGTGCCAAGGATGGGAGTAGGAATTGGAGAAAGACCGGGGCATGGGGAACAAGCAGCCTCAGAGAAAAAGCCTGCTTGCTCATGACCTATGCCAGGATTGGCAGCATCCCCAGCTCCTTGAGATAAACCACATTCCCTCCTCCCCCTCTTTCTCATTTCTTCCTCCACCTCTGCCTCCAGGACCCCTTCCTGGGAATTAGGCAAATCTCCTATTTTCTACTGATGTGAGTTTGCTAATCAAGTACTCAGAAAATCCTAAATTCCAAGATAGCCCCACCCCCACCTCTTGGCTCAGCTCCAAAAATGCCTCTCTCACCACTAGACCCAAAATTTCTAGGAGGAATATAGATTTCTACCACAATTTAACATACTCCCTAGTTCTTCCTTTTCAGTCCATCTCTCAGAGCCAGAGTCAGTTGGATTGAGTTTCAAGACATGAAAAAAAAAGGGGGGGGGGGGCCTCACTTCTCTCTTCCCTCTTAATCACTGCCTTGCTGTGGGGCTGGTGAAGGGGAAGGTCCCTTCAGTTGGACTCATGGTGAGAATGGAGAGAGGAGTGGGTGGTGGTGACAAACACAGCTGTGGCAGGCCTTAACTCCACTAAGCCTATTCTTATATCAGCCAAGGAGGGCAGACAATAACTTGGGCACTTCAGCACTTTTCAAGTGAGAAGCATTGAGGCAACAGTTAGTTTTCTCTCTCAATTCCCCACCCCCTTTCCCTCCTGTGTCCTGCTCCTCATCCATACTAGCCCTTCTTGAATCCCTGAAATAACCAGTATCTTTCATGACTGTCCTACCCCCTCCAGCTATCTATTAGCTACTTATTCTTCCACATCCATCTCCAGTATCACCTCTTTGGGAGAACCTTCTTTGAATCCTTCTCCCCAAAACAAGGTCCTGTTCTCTACCTTCTCACAGCCTGCTTTGAGGTTTTTATTCTAGAGCACTTTTCTTACTAAAACATTATTGTGCATGTATTACTTTTCTAATTGTTGCCATAACAAATATCTACACATTTAGTAGCTCAAAATAACATAAATGTATTATTGTCTTTCAGTTCTGAAGGTCAGAAGGCTAACACAGGTCTCACTGGACTAAAATCAAAGTATTGGCAGGACTCCATTTTTCTCTGGAGGTTCTAAAGGCCACTTAACATTCTTTTCCCTCCATCTTCAAAGCTAGTAACAATGGACTGAGTCCTTCTCACACCTCACCACTCTGACCACCTCTTCCATTTATTAAGACCCTTGTGATGACATTGGTGCCACCCGGATAATCTAGGAAAATACTCTCAAACTGCATAAATGAACCCATCCCCTTACCTTTTTTTAAGCCATTCCTTCTGTCAAGAATATCTGCCTTTCCTCCCCCCTCGTGCCCTCTCTTTTTCCGGAACACACACACACACACACACACACACACACACACACACACAATTTCAAAGCCCAGCTAAAATATTTCCTCCTCTGTGAGACTCCTTCCCATTCTGTCAGAATGTATTCCTCCTCTCTCTCCATCTCCCTAACAGTTTATAGTTCTATTTAGCATAGTCTCCATTTTCCTTTGTGTGCTGGTTTTTTGTTTACTCTTTAGCTTCTCCACCTCTGGGGTGTATTTATCTTGGTGTCCCACCCATAATCCACTCTATTCCCACCCACCACTGCAGCTTTACCTCCATCACCCAGTGCCTGGAATCAGTCACTGTTTATCCAGCAAATTAATGGTTTGCTCATCTTTTCCCTGGTACAATGGAAGGCTCAGGAGAAATATTGGTCCATGTATTGGAAAGTCTTTCTGCTTCCATAACCCACGTACTCCTCACCTCAAACTCCACACACAAATCTTGGGCCTTGTGTGTCTTTCTATATTCATTCCAAAAGTCCAAAATTGCACCATTCAGATGACTGTCATAGTACACTCACCTACTTGCTTCCCAGGTCACAAAATGAAGAACTGAAACTCACAATGGGCATGATATTTGCCCAAGCACCCTCATCATATTAGTAACCAAGTCAACAATAAATTACTGAAAAGTTTTCAGAATTTTCAGTTTGCTTTGTACTCAGCCACCACCCATGAGCCTTGCACATAAAAGTGGGTAAATTGTGCCACACAGTGGCTAAGAAGCTTAGCTTCATATACTGGCCTTGTTCCTAGAAAGTGGAATTCCCAGCCACACCCTGCTCTCCCTTTCTCTCCTGAAGGGTGAGGGGACAGGGAAGCCACCCTCCAGGAATAATTCATAAGATATACACATAGCCAAACTTTCTGTAGGAGAAAACAGGACCCAGATGTATTATTACATAACTTCACCAAGAAAGTTAGAAGAATGTAGATAACAGACAGCTTGGGAGCCAGAGAGTCCAGTTTCCTAAAGGGACTTGGAAGAGGGGATTCAGACCTTCTTTCTCTAAACCAGCTCTAAAAGCTGTTCCCTGGACCTGACACAGTCCCCTCTATTTAGGATATGCAGAACTGAAGACCCAGGGTACAGAGCTAGAAAGAACATTCCCAAATTCTATCAATAGGGCTTTTAACAAGCTAGTCTAGTGGTTAAAAAGCTAGGCCTTTCTCCCTTTGGACAGAGAACTGCACCCTAGTTGATCTCCCAAAGCCTTCTTTTTCAAGCTCCTAATAGGAATCATCTACATTGTAAATCAGAGGAAAGGAAGGTTTAATTTCAGGCAGAAAAGGAAAAGATAGGCAGATTTTGTGTCATTTTCCAAAAACTGACAGCATTCTTCATCTGAGAATGGAGATTCTTGGAAGGTTAGGAAACAAGAAGCTCCCTGGGGCTGCATCTAGGCCAAGGACAGCTGCTTGGCCCCTTCAATAAGCCATCATCCTTGACCTCCAGCTGGCCTATGGCTGAATGCCTGGGTAGAAAGAGGTGGGGAGGAGTTGGACTGCCAGGAAAATAAGGCCTGGCCCTAGCCCGGTTCCAGAATGAAATTGGGGGCAGATGACTATAAATCAGGCAGAGGCCCAAGGACAAATCAGGCAGGAGTCCTCTTTCTTCATTCCTCTCCCAACTGGGTTTAGAGTTCCAGGAATCTGTCCAAAGGATGGGGCCCTGAATAAGCTGGTTGCTGGCAGGCTGGGGACAAAAGGCCTCCTTAAAAAGCTGGGTAAGGAAAGAAAGAATGATAATGAGATGGAAAATGGAGAGCACTGAAGGGTGACGGGGGCTTAGACATGGGGCTGAATCACATTTTGTGGACTGAGGTGGAATTTAGGCAGCCAAATGATGTTTAAATGAAATGATCTTGAAAATTGACTTTCTGGTTGGCTTGGAACTCCTACAAACAGAGCAAGACTCCTATTTCAAGCCAAGATCTCAGACCACAATTTCCTCTTCCATCTACCTCCATCCTCAGGCCCAGAGCACATGATGCCATTGTCCCCTAGAGTTGTCCCTCCACCCCAGAAGGATGCTGATTTTGAAGTTGGTATAATTCTAACACTCATTTGTTTAAGCCCTTTAAATCTGTGGAGCATTCCATATCCTTCAACTACCTTTCAATACCTAGCACTCAATTAAAACACAGACAATCTAGCTATGACAAGTTACCACCCAAATGGCCATCAAAATATCACCCCATAGTTCTGTGATGTTGGCAGGACAGGAAGAGTTATCTCCATTTTACAGATGAGGATATTGAAACTCAGAGAGATGAAGTTAATTGACTCAATCTCAGTGCTAGAGGGCTCTAAAACCACTAGTTCAAATCACCTTTTGCTGGAAACTCCCAGCCCCCATTAACACTCCTACAGAAAGCCTTTATGTGCAAGTACTTATAGAAATGGGAAAATTTAACTAGAAGTGATATCAACTTAAGATGGGAAAATGGAGTCAGCTCTAAAATTAAAATGAATGAATGGGAAGCTTATCTTGATTGGAAACTAGAAACTTCTGGGAGGAACACAAATAAAATCTATTTTCTACAAGAAGTTAGTAAGAAATTTTATTTATTTATTTATTTATTTATTTATTTTTTAATTTTTTTTTATTGATTAAGGTATCCCATATTTGTCTTCATCCTCCCCATTCCCATCCCAAACCCCTCCCCACCCATGCCCCCACACTCCTGTTGTTCATGACCACTGGTTAGGCTCATATGCATGCATACAAGCCCTTTGGTTGATCGCTCCCCCTTTCCCCACCCTCCTCTACCTTCCCTCTGAGGTTTGACAGACTGATCGATGCTTCCCTGTCTTCGGGTTTGTTTTTGTTCATCATATTATGTTGTTCATTATTTCCCCTAGATGCATGAAATCATGTGATATAAGAAATACCCTTATAAGAACTGAATCTGAGACAAGCCATAATGGTTATGCTGGGAGGCAAATGAATCAGTCTATAACACAAATCTGGGAAAAATTATAATGGCATTGT